AGCTCCTCGCTTCGACGGGCTCGATTTGAAGTTTTCAACCAATCGATCGGTTGGCCTTCACTATGATTTCACAAGATGTTCGTTTGAACAGAGTAATGGCTCATGTTGTGTCAATTTCCACAGAAACGAAGCGCGAAGGCTCATCTCCAACTGCCTCAGCTTCTATGGCGGTTACAAGCTACTTAAACAGCGTTTGCGGTTCTTTTTTCGAGTGTTAAAGTGTCTTGGATCTTTCGAGCAATAAATGCACTTTTTAACATTTTTGCCTGGTGCCGTCTCGGCAAATTGCCTGCAATTCCCAGACAGAGGGAAGCCCAAGCGATCAGCTAAACGTGAAACATGTTGCTAATATCAGACCAGGCATGCTGGTCGCTGTTCTCTCCATCGCCAAGTTTTCTGCTGTATCAAATGTGACTAACGTAGTACCTCACGTAAGGTTCGTCCATCGCTCTACTGTACGAAAGTCACAACGAAGGTTCTTCATGCAATGGTTGTGGACACGTGTTTCTGCGAGAAGAGAGCAGATGTTCGATGTTCAGCTTATCGCACAGATCACTCACTATTTCCCAACGCAAAATCAAGGAACAATCAAGGATCATCTCTAGCCTTAGAAGTAAAATCCGTGAACACATATCAAAGTATTTAAAAACAAAGGGAAAATCATTATCAAAGATCAGAAGAATATTCACTAATTATAATTTAGACCCAATGCCTAGATCTCCACGAAACTTTCGCCCGAAGGCACATCTATCAAGTTCTTCAGATTTTACACCTAGAGTGATCACAGCACAAAAATGTCAACGAAACACGACGTAATCGCTTGGAGGCGATTTCTGGACAGATATCATTAGTCCGGGATAGCACAGTGCAGGGGATACTAGTAAAAAGGCTACCATATTCACACCCCCGCTGGCTGTGCTGAAAAGCAGCCGAAGCTTTTCAGATGGCAGTAAATAATTATGACCTTCACATGTGTATGCTAGTTCGAATCTACAATAATGAGGATATGTCAATGAGAGCCTACCAAATATCGGTCACGTCAAGCGGCATGCGACAAAACGCTCGCTTGAGCAAATATTTTACCCCATGGCGCGCTATGAGCCGGCCACTCGGCTCGAACTCAGAGAAGATTCGTCGAGGCAGTTAAGCGTCGGCTCAGAGGTCAAGAAGAACGGGTCGACTCGACGTGTGCTGTGACCAACTATAGGCTGAGTTGCTTCGTTTG